CCGCTCTCCGCCCAGGGGCACGGACCCCAGCCCCTCCCGGTGCCCAGCCGCCCCGCGCCTAGGAGTCGTGGTCTGCGCCACAGCGCCTGGAGGGAGGTGGGGCGGGGAAAGGACTCACCCGGGCTTTCCGAAGTGCCCCCCGAAAACCGACGGCGGGCTGGGTTCGAGAATGGGGCCTAGGGGCTCCCCAAACTCCGGATACAGGAACGAACACGGGCGAGCCCCCTCGGGGCGAGTATCCGAGGGAGGGGCGCCGAGGAAACCGAGGTATCTCTTCGCGGCGGACCAGAGTGATCTGTTTTGGCCCCCAATTCTGCCTCCTTTCTTGACCCCAACGCCCACTGGCCTCTGCCTTCAGACTGGAAGGGGCCTCAGTAGTCAGGAAGACCCTCAAGTCTCCGAAGACAGTCTGCTTCTGTTTCTCACGCTGCAGGCAGAGCTTACCTCCAGGAAATGACTCTTTCTGGTGCTGCTCGAAGGCTGATTAACAAGTGGCACGAGCCCTAATGTTCAGATGAAAGGGCTGGGGGAACCACGCTGGAGAACCACCACCACCTTAAGAACTGCCAGCCTCCGCCCACAGCTGCTCCTAGAAGTAACTTGTAGCTCTGGCTTCCTGGGCGGTGCTGGGGTGTCCTCCCTCCTGCCAGCTGGTCCTCAGGGCTGGGCAAGTGGACAGAGGAACTTCGTGGGGGGCGCGGGGAGGCACCTCAGGGGCACCTGGAGACAGATGCCACCTCCTGGCTATGGGCAAAGAACAGGGGTTTAGGGACTTGAGGCCCTGAGGCTTTCAGTGGTAACTCTAAGCCAGGGTGCAGTCCTGGAGGGGAGGAACACTTTAGGCCCCATCAGCAGGTCTGGACTATAAATCAGTTCCGACAGCAGCTTTTGTTCTGAGTTAAAACTTGGGGGCCGGCCCGTGGCTCACTCGGGAGAGTGCGGTGCTGATAACACCAAGGCCCCGGGTTCGGATCCCACATAGGGATGGCCGGTTCGCTCACTGGCTGAGTGTGGTGCTGACAACACCAAGTCAAGGGTTAAGATCCCCTTACCGGTCATCTTTAAAAAAAAACAAACAAACAAAAAAACTTGGCATCTGAAAAGTAGAGACCAGAAGAGCAGTGGAGATAATTGAGAAAAGTAGTCCAGCTTGGTTTCAGTAACAATTGGGTCTTTGCTGGTACACATAAAGGCCCCTTCTCCCTTGCTCGCCAAAGCCACATTTCCCAGCTCCTTTCCACTAGAAAAAAAGCTGTGGTCTTGGAAATGCTGGAGATAACAATTACTACAGGGTGAGCAGGGAAGGCTTCAACTGACAGGGAGAGAGAAGATGCACTTGTTCCCCCCTCTCTGGATTAGACCCTGTGTCTATTTAAGTAGGGGGTAAACTGATATGCAAATACCCCTCATATTTGCTTTGTGCTTTAGACTTTTTTTTTTTTTTTAAAGATGACTAGTAAGGTGATCTTAACCCTTGACTTGGTGTTGTCAGCACCACGCTCAGCCAGTGAGCAAACCGGCCATCCCTATATGGGATCCGAACCCGGGGCCTTGGTGTTATCAGCACCGCACTCTCCCGAGTGAGCCACGGGCCGGCCCTTGTGCTTTAGACTTTGCCAACTGCCTTCATATTCATTTTCTTACTCCACTCTCATGTCGACCCTTTAAAAAGTAGGGATGGTTTCTCCCATTTTATAGATAAAGTGAACCTCAAAAAGGCTCAACGTAGTGTGGATAATTAGCAAGGTCAGAATTTTTTTTTTTTTTTTGTCCTTTTTGAGACCGGCCGCACCGCGCTCAGCCAGTGAGCGCTGTGAGCGCACCAGTCATCCCCATATAGGATCCGAACCCGCGGCGGGAGCACTGCTGCGCTCCCAGCGCAAGGTCAGAATTTTCAATCAGGTCTTGGGACTCCCAATTCTGTCTTTCCACTAAGTCACCATATATCCTGACAAGGCTCTAGCGCCTGCTGTTTTTCTTCACCTTCAGGCTCTCCCCCAGCCTCTAGGTATGAGGGTTACCAGGCAGAGACCTGAGCTCCCTGGCTCTATCTCCAAGGTGGCCCCAGTGGAAAGTTTCAAAAGGCGGTTTGGTTTCACTGGCAGGGACAGTCTTCTGCTGTACCTCAGTGGCAGGCATTTGGGTTCCCTGAAGCCAGGGATGTAGGTGGAAAGGAGAACCCTCCAGCTAACAGGTTCCTTGAGCCCTTCCCCCAAAAATGCTCCTTAAAGATAAGGTTCCAGCTCCCCGCTCCCCTTGTCTACCTTCGTGCATTGCATGCAGTATTCTGTTCATTCCTTGCACTGGCCTTTTCCGAAGGTGGGTGGGCAGAGGATAGTTTCCTGCATAATTACTTGTTCATGATTCATACTTTTAAATAAAAGCACACCTGGTAGAAAAATGAGGATTCCTGGGTCTTCAATTAAGAAAAAAATTACTAATACTGAAAATAAAGCTCATGTACTTCTCAAGTCTCCCTAGGGCCTGTCTGGCATACTGTGTGGAAGGTATCCACCCTTCAGCCCTTAGGCCTTAAGACCCTCTCATTCCCTCCCTACCCCCTTCCATTTGCTCAACTGCTTGTGGCCAAGTCAAGGAAAGACAGAGATGTGCTAGATACCTCCCAAAGCTCTCCAAACATCCACTGGCAGCTTGGGCCAGCCCCTGAAGATGGCCCAGGAGCCTTACTGGTACCCCCCTCCGCCGTCCCACACATTGGTCACGGGCCATGGTGCCCTTCATTTGAACTGCTCACCTGCCAGCTCTCCCGAGGCAGGTTTCTGGCAGGAGCGAGGCCCCAGGTACACAGTGGGTTCTCTAGTCAACATTGCCTGGTCGGTTTTCAAGGCAGCCAGGAGCCACAGTCAACCCACAGGTGAGGTGAGAAAGCTTGGGTCAGCCACCCTTAAGGGATCTGAGGGCCTGGGGACCGAAGTGAGTGGGGACATAGGAAAAGGACTTCCTCTCTACTTCCTCCAAAAGGAGAGTTATCAAAGCTGTCCACCTGGGAAGCCTTTCCCTTCCTGGCCCCTCCCTACTACCATCACCAAAAGGAAGTAGGAAAACATCCGTCATCACAGCCCCGGATGCTGCTTTTCCACTGGCTTTTATCAGGATATCCCCCAGCCTTTTCCCAGGGGCTTAGGGATCTGGAAAGGTCAAAGACCTGGAAGGTGAGTGGTAAAACTGCCAGCACCACTGTGGAATTTTAGCCTCAAGGAGGCTTGAGTTGCTAACTGTTCCCAGGCTAGTTTTAAAAGATCTGGTCAGTTCCCAGCAAGTCCCAGATAGGGCCCATTACAAGTCCCAGGAGATAGTGTACGCCCTTGCGTAACCTCCAGTGCACACCTCTGCTCAGGTTACAGCCAGGTCTCTGGAGGGACTGAGTCGTCACTGACACCTCTTCTCCCCTTGGTATCTATTTCTCTCTTGGGGACGAGTATGTTTGGGAGCAGGGGAGGAGGGGGCAGTGTACAAGAGCTGGGACTGGGGAAAAGGGCTCCAGGTGTCTACACTGATGGATAGCAGCTCCAAATCATTTTCAGAGCCAGGTAGGGGCAGTTTTGAGAACTGGAAACTCCCTGGTTCAGCCTCAGGCCTCCCCATTCCCTTTTGCCCTTGGCAATAAGAACAAAGAAGGGAAATTTCAAAGGTGATTTCCAGGTTTCCAGAGCAAACTGAATAGCTGAGGATCAGCTGTGAGGATGTGCAGTGTCAGAAGCAGGGGCAGCACTGAGGGAGAGTACAGGAGGCTGCTCACTGCAGTCCCTGTTTTTATCAGAGAATCTAAGGCCGGCCTGATGCTGCTGAGGCCCTGGCCAAGGGGGGCATGAGATGGAGCCAGGAACAGAAACCAGAACTCTCAGGCACGTTGCTTGGGCATCCAAGTCACCCTGTTTGAGGGTTTCTTTAACCTCTCATTTGGCAAAAGCCTGCAAGGCAGGAAGATGTCCTATATGGTACCTAGCCCTGCGTGCTGCATGTGCCTGGGCCCTATGAATAATAGATGCCCCTGCTCCTAGCATTCTGGGGACCCAGCGAGGAGTCAGCTGTCTGAAACAGGCCCAGGAAGTGATGGGCTCCACTTCCGGTCTGCACATGGAGCCGTTTCACCTGAAGGTCCTTTATTTTGGAGAAGTCGCTCTCCTGGGTAGCCCACCTTACCCTATCCTCTGTGCTTGAAGACAGCAAAGGAGAGAAATACATATGAGAAAGCTGTACACAGCAGCACTGGGGAAGCTCCACTGGTGGACACCCAGGGCTGAGTTGAGGAGTGGGCACAGGCCAGTTTGACGGGGGTAATCCTCGGCCACTACTACTTGTGCCCCCTGCAAACCCATCCCAACCCGGAAAGTGTCAGGAGGGGCCAGAGACTTAGACATGGATTCACAGGGTTGGAGGAGTGGGCAGAGAAAGTGAACACTCAGGGTCCACTCACTTCTCAAGGGGTTCAGGTCAAAGATACTTAGTACCCCACTAGGGATCAGGACCCATAAACTGATCTGGGGCAAGGCCCAGGGAAAGCAAAAGCAGTACATGCAACTGTCTTTTGGACATGCCTCCACTCCTAAGTCTGGGGAGTTGATTTCAGAGCTCAACAATAAATTGAATTAAATGTAATTACAGCCCTGACTCACCATCTCACTTTGTGTATCCTCCCCAGCAGGGGCAGGGAGTGGGGAGTGGTCCCAGACTAGGTCCAAACAAATGATCCCCATCCCAGCTCCTGGGCCACAGGGAAAATTGCTCCTCCCTGGAGATTTGCAAGAAGCCCTCTGCTGCAGGGAGCAGGCCCCAGTCACATGACTGTCCGAGGTGAGAATTCAGCAGAGCATGAGCAGCGGCCTCAGGAGACTGGGTGCTGGGCATGAGCCCTCAGGACAGGGATTGAAGGAAGTCTCCTAAACCACTGATGCTGAAATAAGACTTTAATGTGCACAAAGAAACCTCACAGTAGTGACAGAGAGAGGAAGGAGGGTGGGAAGGACTGAAGTCCAGGAAGCCCTGGAGGCCTTTGAGGCCCAGGGAAACCAGAGCTATGGAGACAAAGGCCTTGGCGAAGCGGAGATGGCTAGGAAGGGAAGGAAAGCGGAGTGGTGGGCCAGACTGGAGAGGTCCATCCCTGGATGAGTGGGGGTCGGGGCAGTGGCGGAGGCAGACTCTTCCTTCATCAGGCTGGTCAGCATCTGGGCCTTGACTCGTCACCTCCTCCAGTTCCCTGAGCCCTGGGCTGCACTGACCATGCTCCTTTAGATGTCCTTCCAGGGGCTGAAGTACTGGTCCTGGGGCAAGGAGGAAAACAGGCTGTGATGGGTTGGGGCCAGGAGCTGCCCAATGTCCTGAGGCTCCCTGGACTTCCAGAGTCCACTCAACACCCACTATGGTCCTCTTCTGTGCCGGGTGCTGAGCAAGTAAGGCTCCCAGGGCTCCTGGTGCAGGTGAGGACACAGCAGGTCAACAGGCCTCTTGATTGCAGCGCCATGAGTGCCCTGCCGGGGTCCCCTCTATGCACTGCCCACAGGCCCAGGGAGTAAGAAAGCAAGGTGGTGCCTGCACTCCATTCTGCCAGGCCACCAATCCCTGTTCCTTCCTGTCATGACAAACACACTGCTTCCCAACAGAGACTAGTGTGATCTAGTTCCTTGGGGACTGAGGGTGAGGTTTGCTCTCCAACTTTCTCAGGGACTTGTGAAATCTGAGACCCGAGCCACAGCCTGTGGCCAATGTGTCAGCCCCAAGTCAGAGGTTACAGGGGGAAGGATAAGAGAGGAGTCAAGAGAGGCAAGCTGAGAATCGAGGTGCACTGGGAGAGGGGGTTGGGACGTGGCTCTTGCCAGCATGGCTCTGCATCAAGGGCGGGGGTCTCAGGGAGGGAACGGCCCCCAAACCAGCCCAGCTGGGTGTTGCTTGTTGGAGAGACACGGCCAGAAGGGAGGATGCCAGAGCAGGGGTTATACTGTGGTTAGGTCAGCAGGCTTGGGAGTCAGGCTGGCTCAGGGCCCTGATTCTGACATTCACTCAAGCTGCCTGTGGAACAGGGCAAACTATTTAACCTCTCAGGGCCTCTGGTTAGTTTGCTCATCTGTAAAATGGGCTCCTAACAACACCTGCCTCATGGGGGATACAGAAATGTACTTCAAAAAGTTTCTGGAAAAATGGAACTAAAAGATAATATGAATCTCTCCATGAACTCTTTGAAGACCCCTTGTATTGGTCATTCAGGAAATATTAGCTATGAATATTATTACCTAGAGGTAATAATATTGAGAAAATTCGGGGCTGTGAAGGTTGCTGCTACAGAAATCAGAGGGGACCAGGGCAACCTGGGAGTGTTCCTCCTAGGAGGGTAGGAGGCCACCCTCAGGCCTGCAGAGCAAGTAGGCAGAGGGTGGGCAGCTAGTGCCTCTTCCTGGCACTGTTCATGACAAACTGGTCCTCCAGGCCCAGGCTGTCCCCTCTCCAGAGCTAAGTTTTTCTTTGCACTTGCTCAGGAATAGACTTCTCTTTGTCTCCCTCACCCCAACCCAACCCAGGCCCTGGATTCTCCATAAGAATGATGAAGGCCCCTCCCCCCAGCCCCTTGGCATTGTCCTCTCCACCCATGTCCCTGCCAGGAGCTCAGCAGCTGCAGTGGGGGTGGATGTGCTGCTGGCTCTGGCCAACCCTGCCTGACCACTTCCCTCTCTTCCCAGGTTTGGGGACTGGAGGGGGTACCACCTGGGGCTGGCAGTGGGTCAGTAGCTCCTGCCAACGGATGTAGGTCTGGGCAGCCAGGTCCTTGAGTTTGGTCCAGTGCATGGCCTGGGGGCTCTCCCGGATATGGGTGCTGATGTGACAGTCCAACTGCATGCACAGCAGCTGCAGCTCACCCTGTGGAGACAGAGGCTGGCTGTGGGGAGGGTGTGGCATGGGCCGGGGGCATTCAAAGGGAGGGCAGAAGGGGAAGGAGATCAGGGGCAGGGAGGAATGGATTTGAGTGACTGCTCAGAAGTTGGGCAGCAAAGGCAGGAGGGGCCAGGGCAACTGCTGGGGGCTCCGAGTCAATGTCCCTCGGGAACAGCTCGTGGAACACTGGGGGTTGCAAGAGGCCCTGGCTCTGCTAGGCCTGCTCCTTTCTCAGCCTCCCACTCTTTGCGGTTCCTGACAATGGGCTGGGCTCCATCCAGGCTGACCGCACACTGCTTGGTGGAAAAGACACAGCTGGGCACCCCCACGCCACCCCAGCCTCCTGGGAGACTCACCCATTGTTCTGGAGTAATGTCCTGGCAGCTGACCACCACCCCAGCCAGTGTCAGGAGGGTGTGGCTCAGGTAGCAGACCTGGAAAGACAGCACAGCAAGAGATGTGTCCCTAACTCTGTTCCAGCACCACAGCGGCTACTCCTTCACCTCCAGATCTCCTTGCTCTCAGCCTGCCATCAGGCTTTCAGCAACAGCATCTCCAAGGAGGGCCTGGGTGAGCAGGGATGCCAGGCCACTTACGCAGAGCTGTGACTCCCCCCAACAGGCTCTCCCAGCTTTCCCTCTGATGACTGTTCACCCTTCCTTCAGAAAAAAAAGGAATCTGCCATCCAGAAACCATACTATCCCCCAGTCTTGTCCTGGGGCTCCAGCAGAGAAAGCCCTCTGGGGAGAAGGGCCCGTGCACTCTGATCTCTGTGTAGTTTCTGTTCTCTGAGGCACTCATACCTTGGGCACTGTGACTGGGGTTTCACTATCCCCTATGGCACCTTTGTGCAAATAGCAAATGGGAGTCCCCTCCAGGGGGACATGGCCCACAGGTGCACAGCTTCAGGATTCGGCTCATCGCTTGGGAAAATGCCACCTCTACAACATGAGTGTAGCCCTGCCTGGACACTCAAACCTTGTTGACATGAGGAGGCAGGTACAGACAGGGGAGGCAGGTGGGAGAGGGTTTTTGTTGAGTATTTGTACACCTTACCCACCAACTCAACCCTCTTTCTTGTCCACTGGACACTCTCAGAGGTGAAAACTGGACAAAGGCCAATTCTGTCCGAGCAGAGAATGGTTTGATCCCAGGGTGCTCTTGGACTCTGTTGGTACCCTCACTTATGGGACATTGCCTGCTATGTGGAGAAAATTCGATATGGGGAGCGTCCCAAAGACAGATGAGGCTCCTGACTTCCTGAACTGCTCTCTGTGGGCATCCCCACTCTCATACACAGGTTCCTGCTGACTGTCCCCTTTGGACAGGAACATAAGGAGGGTGGCAGGAAATAACCTTGTGACTACACCTGTGGCAGATGACCAGCCCTGAGGATGACTGGGAGGTTAAGTGGCCCTGGGGTGGCCAGCAGGGCTCCAGTGTGGTGGTAAAGGAGCTGGAGTTCAGGACGAGCCTAAGTTCCTCCATCCCCAGCTTCCCCTGCCCTATCATCCTGTCCTCTTAGAGCACCAGGCAGTGCCCAAGAAACAGCAGCAGCCTCTCTGCACAGACTCAGTAGCCTCCTCAGGACAGAAGCCATGACTATTCCTGAGGGAACCCGACTTGGCACTAAGAACAGACTTCCTGAACCTAAATGCTACTGTGCAGGATCCTGAGGACAGAGGCCCCCTGGGACCCCCACCAGCAGCACCTGCCGTGCTCAGCCTATTCTTTAGCACAACAGCCAAGGCTCACAGGTGGCCTGGCCAGAGTGGGTGGCAAAGCACAGAGAAATGTCAGGCACAGAGAAGATGCAGTGGGGGAAGCCAGGGTGCCCGCTGGGTGTGCCTCTGGGCTCCCCTTCCATCCAGTCTGGCCTTGCCTCAGGGAGGGGCCACACCTTCCGGACTCTTCACAGCCTTTGCAGTCCTGGCACCCAGCTCATTGCCCCCTTCTCATGCAGCAGGCTCAGGCCTGTGCCAGACGCTGTACCTTATCCAGGCCACAGCCATGCACATTCAGATGGTAGAGGAAGAAAGATGCTTCAGGAAGGCAATCATTTGGACAACAAATACCAAATTTCAGCTTCCCCACGGACCAAAAGGAGAAAGAGTCCTTCCACTTTTGGGGGGTGAGGGAGAGGCGTGCAGCTCAGAGGTTTCAAGGAGGAAGTGACTAAGCTAAAGCGGGTCTCAAAGGAACAGCAGGACTCGAGGAGAAGACACCCCTGTGGGGGTGGAGGTGGGCAGATTACAATTCCAGACAGGTCCTGAGGGCTGATGCAAGCAACAGAAGCAGGGCATGTTGGGGGACGACAGGGTGGCTCGCTGGGCTGGAGCAGGGGAAGTGGGGAGCCGACTGGGGACAGAGCTGGCAGCAGAGTTGGGGGGCTGCCTGGGGGAAGTGGGTCATAGGATGTGGCTGTGTGGGTGGTGCGGGACGTACCAGCATGAAAATGCAGCTCTGGGAGAAAGGATCACAGGTGTCCTTCATCATCTTTCATTTTTAAGATTACTTCTGTGTGCTTTACTCCCATAATCGGAATACAATAAAGTTTTTTTTAAAATTAATTTATTTTTTATTTTTTTTTAAAAAGATGACCGGTAAGGGGATCTTAACCCTTGGCTTGGTGTTGTCAGCACCACGCTCTCCCGAGTGAGCCACGGGGCCGGCCCAAGTTTTTTTTTTTTAAACAAACACTGCCAATTATAATTGACTGAATCTAACTGGGTTTGGGGTCGGTGTGGGGCAAGGGAGAGGGACATGACCTTGAAGTGAAGCCAAGGCCCCTCTTTGAGAGGGCAAAGCGCTTGGAGGTGAGCAAGCTGATGATGAGAGGTGGCCGGGCAAGCCAAAGGACACACCCAAGGACGACGGAGCCCTCCCGTGAGGTGAAGGCTGGGGAAGGCACCAGAGCTCTCTGCCGGGGACGGTGTGAAGGCCTGGGAGGGAGGGGGGCTGGGAGGGAAAGAAAGGGGACAGAAAGGGGACTGGCGACCTTGCAGACCTTTCACGTGAGGGGTGATGGCTTTGTGGCCTGCCCCGCCCTGGCTCAAAGGTGGAGGAGGTCTTTGTATTAGAGGACGCAGAACTCCTCTTCCAAGGAGGAGGAGACGGTGGTGAGGGTGGGTCTTAGGATCTGAGGAATGCCCTGAAGGAACACCAGGGAGGAAAGGCTGTCAGCGGTATTTGCCCCATGCAGTGGGGATTTACCAGTTTCACAACTTTGTTCTTGTGTTGATTCCCATAATTGAACCTGCAGGGAAAATCCCAAGAAAACTATTCCGAACGTGTTATTTTGGGGAGGCGGCGGGGGGTGGGGGGAATTAGGGGGTGGTAATAGCAAATAAGTAATGGTAGTCCTAAAGAAAAGCTCTATTAACCACATTTCATAAGCCATTTTTCCAAAGGCAAAAAACAAACCTGCCCGGAGCCCAGGTGCATGTTTTCCTTGCATTTGAGGATGCTCCCTGGAGTTGGGCCTAGGTAAGGGGAGGCCCTTTAAGGAAAACTCTGATCCAGTTTGAGGGGAAAGTTTCCAGTGGCCAGAAATCATGACAAAGACAGCCGCTGCACATGAACCCCTCCCTTGGAGAACCCTTCCTCTGGGGGCTTGGCTGAAGCTGGGGACCCTCCTCTCACTTCCCAGGGACCCACGGTCTCAGAAGCGCTGGGAGGCAAGTGAGGGGCTGGTCCCATCCAGACAAACGTGCATGCATGGCTTCTGGCTTCTTCTGAACCCCCACTTCCCCGAGACCCCTCTCTCCTGTGTGCGGGAAGGTCAAACTAGCAGAAATTGGGGGCCAGCGGTGCAGTGCGGGCGGGGCGAGGGCAAGCGAGGGGGCCATCTGGAGGACAGGTAGGACACCAGGTAAACAGCCACTGCAAGAGCTGCGCTTCCTGCTCCTGTTGCTTCACTGTGTGACCAGTTCCTGCACTGAGCAAGCCCGTTCCTGTCCTGGCTGGCACCACAGGGACCCGGAACTCCAGTGGCTTCCCTTTCAAGATACAGGAAGAGAAGGCCGAGCAGAGGCCACACAGAGACTCTGCGGCTCCTGCCCACTCACCCGTCCTGTCCATTTCCTCCACCACTGGGAGAGAGAGGTGGCCCTTCCACCTGCCCGAGGGAAGCCCCTTCCAGGCCTGCTGGGGGGAGTCAGTGTGGCTTCAGGGTTAGCCCTCTGAGCATGGTTGGTGGGGGCTACACGTGTCCAGGCCTCAGGACCTTGTCTGAAGAGGGGCCTGACCAGCTCAGGCAGCCAGCTACCCCCCACCCCCCGTGAATGGGCAGAATTCCTGCTGGGAAGCCCAAACAGGAAATGGGACCCAGGAAGCATCAGTCAACAACGTGGGGAGAGGGAGAGTCTGAGGGCGAGGAATGGGACGTGCCTAAGCCCAAAACCAACAAGATGAGACTGGACCACCCCCTGCTGCTGCTCCCAGCAAGGCCTGCAGCCTCGATGTTCCGGGTCTGTTCCCAGAGTCTGGCTCTTCTCAGAAATCCTGCACAGGATGCCTCATTCCTGGCTCTAGAGCCTTATGGCGGGCCCTGCCCTCTCCCTGGGGAAAGATGACAAGGATGAGTGATGGCAGACAGCCTACTGGGCTTGTCACCCAGGGAGAGGAAGGTCATCTCTACGTTCTGGCCCAGCTAGTTCTGACCCAGGAACCAACAGCCAAGTGTCCCAGGTCAAGCGGGATCCATTAGCAGCACTTTTGTCATAAGACAAAAGGGAAAAGGGTGGACATTTCCCAGGAAATTCATCCTTTAGAAAATTCCCCTCCAGCTAATGCCAAGGGAGCAGGCTGTGGCCTGGGTTATCCACGCTGATGAAGCGTAGAAAGGAGGAGAGAGAGGCTCTCCCAGGAAGCTACTTGCTCTGGCCAGAACATCATGGTTTCTTCCACCTCAGGTCATGAGCCAGAACCCAGTCTTACCTTGGTCTGCAAGCCAAACCCTTTCCCTGGAGGCTTCCAGGCAGGGTGGGGATGGCAGATCTTGCCATTATAGGAGGATGGTGTGGGATTAGGTCTAGCCAGGCTCTGGGGCAGCCATTGTGGAAGGAGAACTGAAGCTGACCCAGGAACACCTGCTGGGATGACTGAGCCTGACCCAACGGAAGTGGCTCTTGCAGCTAGGCTGCTGGGCCCATGGCTCACCAAACTGGTGTCCCTGGCTCTCACTCAGGAAGCTGGCACTAAGTCCCCGCAGGTGTCCGGGCTCCCTGCCTGGGACGCCAGGACCCCAGAACAGCCTCCTTTGTTTTCACCTTGCCATGCTCACAGACTGGGTGGCAGCCACCCTGGGGAACACGCATTCAGCCCCAATCTGACTGGGCTGCTCTCAGCCCAGTCTTGAGGGCCTGAAGGTCCAGCCCAACCCAACAACTGATTGCAGGAGAATTCTGCCCCAGGTGCCATCATTGGCATGTCT